TCTTTGCTTTTGTATACAATTTTTGAAAAGAGAAAAGTACTTTTTACACTGTTCAATATTTCATAAACCCTGAACAAACTAAATCCTGTGAGTAGTTCACTTAAAAGTTAAGCTGTCATGTACATTATCAAAGGGCTTGTAGCAGGTGCAGCTCAGCCTCCCCTCTGTAGGTGGTGCTGTTCTGGCAGCCACTGTACAGAGGGAACAGAGGTTGAGAGTAGCTTTTGTTCCTCTGAGGCCTCTGTAGGTGTCATCAGGGGAGCTTACGTCTGATTGGACATTGCTACACTGAATTACCTCCGTGGCCATCTTTAGTAAGAGCAATACTAATAAATAGCACTTGCCAACTATGTGTGGCACGCTTTTTCAAAGTGGATCATGTAGGAACAGGATCCCTGCCAACTAGGGACAGTGGACTTAGTGCTAGGGAGAGGTTGTAGTCGAGCAGGGATAGTGCAGGGATACTACACCTGGTTCTGCCATCTGGGAACCCTAGAGAGTTGGGACAAAGACCTTCCTATCTGGTTAATAAAGGCACTTGCAGCACTGCTATGTCTATCAGCCACTACCTTCACCAGATACTATTTCGGTAACACAACTTAGCAAAGTGGCCTCTAAAGTGTAACCCCCACCTAGTTAGCTAGGGGGAGCTCTGGCTCAATTATTAGTCAGAAGGGCTGAATAGCAGCCTGGGTTCAATAGCTAGCGGGATCAAATTGTGGTCAGAGCTGAGAGGCTCTGCAGACCTCTGGAATCTCCCTCTGTTCTAAAACTTTGGAGAAAGATCTAGAATCAGTGGGTGGATTTTAGGAGTGGCTGGTCTGTTCTCTTAGAGGACCCTGGCTCCCCCTGCCAGGTGAACACAATGGCTCAGCAAACACACATGCTCCTGCGCTTGGGGATGGACTCGATGTAGGCTGCAACCACATTAAGAATGTCCTGGAACATGCACACCTTGCTGCTCTCAACTGACGGGGTAATCCAAATATACTGAATGAGGAAAGAACAAAGAGAGGGAGCGCACAGGCCTAGTGCATTACCATAAAAAAAAATGTTTAATAAGAAATAAAATAGGTGTTGTATTCACAAACGACAATATAGTCAAGGCACATCATAAAAGAACAGCTGGGTCAACACCGCTCTGAGTAACAGTCCGTAATGGGGAATGTAGACATCCAATAGGCTGACACATTTCTGAGGAAGAGGCAAGTCTTACGGATGTGCCTTGACTTTATTGTCGTTTGTGAGTACAACACCCTATTTTATTTCTTATTAAACATTTTTTATGGTAATGCACTAGGCCTGTGCGCCCTCTCTTTGTTCTTTCCTCATTCAGAACACAATGGCTCAGCAGAAGGGATATTTCGATCAAGGAATGTTGGGCTGGGGGCAGCCAACATGTCTACCCACTAAGTGAACTTGGGCTGGCTGGTTTCCCAGGAAGCAGTTGAGCTTTATTCAGTGAATGACCAGCCAGGGGCGGACTGACCATTTGGAAATTCGGGCACTGCCCGAGGGCCCGGGGTCAGTAGGGGGCCCCATGAGATGTCCTTGGTACCCTTTTTCATAGGCTTTTTTGAGTTTGGGCAAGGACACAGGGGCCCCATGATCCCCTATTGCCGGGGGCCCCATGAGTTGTCAGTCTGCCACTGTGACCAGCTATAAGGTGGCCACAGAAGATTGATATCTCAAGATTAAAAGGTGGAGTGATACCGTTAACATCTAAAACCAAAATCCTTTTTTATTTAGAATAGTTAAATCCCAGTCAGTTGTTTTTTTTTTTTTTTTTTTTTTTTTTGTCATCCCTGTCCTAATAAGGAAATTTTTCTTCACCTCCTGTCTTCTAGACTCAACAGGAAGCGAGAGAGCATATTTCCAATCTGCTCTTAGACAGTTGTCATGGGAACAATTGTGTCCGTTGGAAGATGTCTCTTCTATTCCTGCTCTGGTAGGAACTCAGAATTTTGAATTTACCCATCACTTTCCTTCCTGATTACAATGATGGTCAGGACAGTTGGGGAGGATAAATCCCCATGAAGGGGACACACTCCTCTATAAGTACCTTTTAGAGAGGTTCAAACTCCTCGCCACTCTAAGTCTGAAAAAAAAAATGTTCATTTAATAATCACTTTATGACCATTAGTAGTATTGAAACAATGGTCGGCACCCCCCCCTTCCCCCATACATTCTTAAATGCTAAATCAAAAGTGAAGCACATCCAAGTTAATAATAAATATGAAAAAAAAAATCTATAAATTACCTGAACACATTTCATCTCCTTTATATATAAACTAAAAATGACTAAGAAAAAAACATATTGAAATACAGTGCAGTGTCCACAAAATCTGCTTGTGTGCGTTCATGCTCAAAGTTCTGTGATCTACTGTGATTGGATAAAGCAGGTCGCTGGCAAAAACAACAGAGCCAATCAAACACAGCAATCACAAGTGTAAACAGTGTATGGAGCAAATGGTTTTCTCTCGCAATAGAATGAGAGAATGGAGGATTAATGAAATAATCCATTCAGAAATCCAGCTGCAGCAGAGATCCTCCAGATATCTTTCTTGTACCAATAAGGGAAAACTTGCACTTCAGTGGGTGACCTATAAAAACTAAGTACACCTAACCACCTTTATAACAGTATGTTTCTTCAATTCCAAAAATTATGGTAAAAAGGTGATCACCTTGGGGAGTCCACCCAAGAAAAATGGTAATTTTAAGGGGGGGTCGGGTCATACTGTCATGGGTATTCAATGGCGCCAAAGAAAGCTCTATCCATCTCAAAGAGCTTATATAACATTCACTTGCGTACAGTGTTGGATAATCGAGTGATTGTCAATCAAACTTTCACTGCAATAAAAAATGGCCTAGATAAAAGCGAGTATAAATTCTGGTCCTGCAGTTGTTGGGTAAGTGGAGAATTGGGACCACCATACAACTCCAATGCTGACACTGGTACTAGTTACTCTGCTTCTTCAGTCTTCTACATGAAAGATTAAATAATTGGGTCTGCTCACTGAAAGGTTTTTTTTTTTTTTTTTGTAATAAAAATAACAATGATCACAAGTAATGCTTGAAATCAGAAGCATTGCTTATTATCTGTTTGTTTTTTTATGTCCACAAGTAGGCATACCTGACTGGTTAGAAGTATGGTTAGGATGGAGCCAAATGTGCCCCAAAGCTCTCAAACATGAAGGCAAGTATGTTGAACTGTAAAAGATCTATAGCAGTCACGGGTGCTAGAGATGTACCCAGGCCATCACGCTGGAAGCCCCACTGAGAGTTCCATAAACCCAGTTTTCATTGCTAGAAAGAATTGGACCCCCATAAATCCTAACCTTTCCTTTAAGATAACCCAAATACCTCACCTTCCCAACACCAAACACTAAGACATAACCCCCAGAAACTAATAACTTCAACCTAAAACATCACCCTTAACATGAATCTTAAACTTATTTTTTAACTCTTAATCTTGAATTAGGCTTAGCTCATCACTGATAACATGTAATTCCCTAATTTTATGCCTAAATAGCTCACACTCTAAACCTGGATACCAACATTGTGAGCTAAAGTGTCCCTCTTTGATTCCTTACAGACTCTTTTGCCAAGATGTTACAGATCTGATATTCCTGCACTGAAAACATTTAAGCTGTAGCTCTCCTACCATTTTTACTTTGACTCAAGAGCTTCTAGTAAGACTAACCCCCAAACTCTTTATATTTGTTTTGACTTGATAACTTAATCTCATATTTAATTTACCTCATCACTGCCCATAAATGTTCTCTCATAGGCCTATTCCAGCAAAACCTTAAAGTAGAATTATAGGCAAAACATTTTTTTTTTTCATTTTGGATAAAATAAGAGAGGGTATATGTCCTGTAAGATATTTTTTTTTCGCCATCTGAGTCTCATTGTGGAGATTTCCCTTCACTTCCTGTCCCATAGGCAGGAAGTGAGAGGAAGTTCCTGCAAATTAAGGGAATTCCTTGGGGACCCCCAGGTCATCATAAACTAGTGTCCCCATTGGATGATTTCCCCTCTATTACTTTTCTGTGGAAGACCTGAAATTGGGGATTTTCTTTTACTTTCAATGATAATGGCAAACAGGACAAATCTGGTGAATCTCTCTAATGGGGGCATAGACAGCAATAACACAGATGGAGGAATCTCCACTGCTGATTATTGTATTCAGGCAGCTGCCTGCATCTGATAGACCAATAATTTTCTGCCAGGCTCAGTCAATTTATAGGTCAACTGTTGTTGAGCTGGGGAATGTTTGCAGGGCCACAGTTCGCAGTTTGGACAATTTCAGCAGGAATTGGCCAAAGTTGATCCCTCTATTGGGGATTATGAGATGGTGACTCTCCCAACTGTTACATGGACAACAATAACAACCCAAGAGTGATTCTAACCCTCACCACTCTACCTAAAAAACCTTTGCCTTTTAGGAATAATTTAAGTGTAGCAGGATGGGCAATCAATCAAATGAGCCAACATAAAGCAACTGCAACTTGCAGTTTAATAAACAGGAGCAAAGTTAGAATTAATAATTCAAAAAACAGGGTCAGAATGGTAATAAGCATGCCTACAATGCAGAATAACACAAAACAGATTATGAAAGCTGCACAGGCATGGACTATTCACAGCAACGTCTCTGGCTCAGTCAGGGTGACATCTGGCTGGATAGTATAGTTTTTTTACAAGATTATATAAGGGAGTCAAGCTGAGAATCACTACTTCAGTATACAGCAAAAACACCTACTTGGGATTGTCCCCATAAACAAGGATGATGCACCACTCTACTGGAATTGGAGTACCCTGGTAGCAATTGGGGAGGGGCTCTCCACAGTAGCTGGGTCTTCTGGAGAAGCTGTACGCACATATGCCGTTTCTGAAAGTGGAGTGCTCCTTACCTGGCTGCCACTCGCTTTCAAGCTACCTCTGCCTTAGGTGTGGCCTCTCGGAGCTTCTGTGGGAGAGAAGCTGAGGAACTTATCTTTCTGATGTGTCCAGAAACTTAGGGAGTTCTGGGAAATAGAGTTAGAGGGGCCTGTGCTAGCATCTGAGCAGGGGCGGGCTGACAACTCATGGGGCCCCTGGGCATTAGGGGATCATGGGCCCCTGTGTCCTTGCCCAAACTCAAGCCTATGAAAAAGGCACCAGGGGCATCTTATGGGGCCCCCTACTGACCCCAGGCCCTCAGGCAGTGCCCGAGTATCCAAATGGTCAGTCCGCCTCTGCATCTGAGTATGGTGATTTAAATGGGCCTTCCACTACCTAGGTTTTAGAGGTCAGTGTGAGGGTTTGTGTCGGGGAAATAACTAATATAGAGCATAAACACTGGCCAGTTTGTAAGCAAGTTCAGTCTATTTCCTCCACTGCAGGTGGCACGCAACCACAGCGGCATTGCAGAGACAGAAGACGGTTTCCTGGGTAACTGGGGAAGTGATCTGTTGGATGCTGGCAGCCACCTTGGGTCAGGCAAAGTTTGAGATCCTGGCTCCCTGACTTGGTGCTCAATTTGTGAGTGGACAGTGTAGGGACAGGTATAGCAGCAGGGAAAAGTTCCAGATGAGCAGGGACAGGATAGGGGCACACCATCCTTCCTTAAATCCTCCCATTTGGTCATAGACCAGCCAGGCCACATTCCGTCCTCTGAGATAGACACTGTTGGCACATCTGAGACCTGCTCTGTGACACGTTGCTGTTAAAACCTGAGTGTTCCCAGTCGGGTGCCTCCCTGCTGGACTGTTTGTATCACTGAACTTTGCCTTCAATACAAGTTCTGTTTACTGCATATGTAATCACTGCCGCCACACCATGCTGCACTGTCGGAAGTCTTGTGTTGAGTACTGCAAGTGCCAAGCTCCTGGCATCAAAAACAAATGTATATGTGTCTGTTATTTTGGGAAGTTTGCAAAGTAGTTTTTATATGAATACTGTAATTGCGTAAATCCCAGTACACACATACCGAATATCAGTCCGTGTGTACTGCTGTCTGCTGGAATACCAGCACTTGCAGCCAGAATACAATAGAATAACAGAGGACATCCTTGCATTTTCATCATTTGTGTTGACACAGGGATCTGTCAGGTTTTTTTTTTTATGTTTCAACCCACTGGTTGAACAAAAAAATCTGGGTGTGTATGCCTTGCGTAAAGAATAACTTTACCTTTAACAAAAAAAATAAATAAATGCACATATTTTTGCAGCTAAAAATGTGCATTCATTATTTCCTTCTATAGGAGCCTGTATTGCACCTCCGATCAGTGTGTCGGGCTGGAGGGAGTGTGAACGGACTAAAAGTGTGCTAATCAGTGCGCTCACGGTTCATTGAAACTACAAGTTCGTCTGAAGTGGATTAGAGAGATCACTGTGAATGAATGATGCAGTGGCTGTGGAAGTGAGGAACCCCTGTCCACTGTCACAGGGTAGGGCGTTAGTGGTTGTTAAATATGTTACATCCTAAATACAGGTATAAAATGCAACATGTTCAAATGGTGAACTTGGCCCTTAAGCCGGCACGGAAAGTATGCTCTCAGTGACCTATTTGTTTCTTCAAGCATTTACCAACAAAACAGTACTGATAAGTTGTCAGGTGAACTTAATAGACATTGGGGCTTTTTGATTAGAGTAGCTGTTAGGCAGTATTTATTGTACAGGCTGGAGACAGCCCTGGCTACAACTGCTGTTTAAACCATTTTCCTATGAGGAAACCTCAACTTATCTGTTAGGGCTTTGCTGTGAAGCTAACTGGCCGGCATCTTCTTGATTAATACACAATCACCAGTAATTGATTTGTGAAGAGAGAGACTGGCACGGACTGCCTCTAATGTCTTGTGACGTGTGGACTCCAGTTATTTGTGTTCAGATCCATATTTGTTGTTAATTCAATTATTAATGTGAGCGTACAGTTTTATGGTGTGTGAATTTGCTGTGCTGTAGGTTATATGTACGCCATACCTAAGATTAAAATATATTTTTATGTGTAGAGTCTCTACAGAAATGTTAAAGTTTTCCACTATGTCTAGACTCTTTTTGTGATTGATTCCAGTTTATAGAAAGCTGGATTACAATCAGCAAATTTTTTACAGTACTCTAAATCTGTAATGTTTTTTTCCTTTAATGTTTTTATTGACATACATTTAGGCTGTGTAATCTGAATCTATATATCGAAGTACATATGTATTAGATGTATTGAGATTCACTGTGTTACTCCCATACCACTTTATTAATACAATGAGGGCTCTGTTTACCATATCAAGGGGTGCAGTCACTAAAGATTTTGCATGTGATATGAAGGTCACATGACCCACTTTTCACAAATATTGCATTGATGTAGCACTACCTTTTTGAAGGCCACTGTGTTGTGGGTATCCCAAAGCTTCCCTCCGCACAGCCAAGTAAGAGGTACCTTTCACACAGACTTGCATTCAAAGACAGGGACCAGTCTGTGGACTTGGTTTTGTTGTTTTTATTATCCCATATTTATAGAGCAGTCTACCAGGGCCTCCAAGCCTGGGATTGAACGGCCACAAAGAAAATGCAGATTAGGTCTCCATCCCTTCCTGCTTACCAACTTCTAGAAGGTTCTATTTTCCTCCAGAGTCAGGAGGAGGTGATAGAGCCACAACCTGTTGAGTCATCCAGCTGACCTGCAATAACCCGACCTCAATCACAGACTCGCACAATTACCATGAGTCCTACACAATGATTTTACTTATAATTCACTACACTACTCGAGAGTGTTACCTGCATTAATTCATCAAAGTTAAATATCAAATGTGAGGTAAATATCACCCAAAAAAAAAATCATTAAAACGGAGCTCCAGACAAAATGTAAAAAAAAAAAGTCCGCAGCTACAAAAACTGTAGCTGCTTACTTTTAAAAAACAAATACTCAACTGTCCCTCAATCCAGCGGTGTCCTCATCACAGGTAGTTCCACTGGCCATCCCCTTTCCCCAGCGCTGGCATTTTATGTCTAGACACCCAACTATGACAGCTTGCAGCTTCACGGCCAGTGGGTGAGTAGCACTGTGCCTTGTGACTGGTCCCGTAGTCTTTTGGGCCCTGTCACGTGTCCCAGAAGACTACAGGGAGGCACAGGACAACTTCCGCTTCTGATCACCTAGGTGATTGCAGCAGAAGTGGGAGCGGGTAACTGTCAAAATCAGGTACCCACTCCCCAAAGGTGCCATTCCTTAACGGAGAGCAGGGGACAAGGCCTTAAAGCAGAATTTCCCCTTTTGGTGCAGCTCTGATTTAGGCTTCAGGCACACTGGGCATTTTAATAACACTGGTCGCATTAGCTGTGTAAAGCCACGTTAAAAATGTGAGTTTTTTTAGCGTTTTTGCATTAGCGTTTTGCCATGTTTTTCTGCGTTTTGCGTTTTTTTTTTGCTCCAAAAAGTCTGTTTTGCCGCATTTTTTCAGCATTAGAGCATTTTTGTAGCTAAAAAAACTCCTAGAAACCCACTAGTACTGTGTTTTTTCCAGCCAAAAAACGCTAATTACAGCCTATGTGTGCATGCAAACATAGGATAACATGCTGGGCAGTTTACTGGCTGTATAGAAAAACGCCAAAAACAGCAGCTGTAAAAACATCCAGTGTGCATGAGGACTTCACTAAAGAACACACACATTGGTTATGTATCACCTGGCAGTAGGCACTCGGTATTTTAGCCATGTACAGAATAACAAGGAGGGAAACTCTGCACTGGCCAGTAAGTTGAAAGTATACAAAGTATCAGTGTGGAAATGTTCTCCTCTGAGCTCAGGAATGAAAATAAATTGTAACTTTTCTCCAGAGGGAGATGGTTCTGTAAATAAAAGCACACTAGAATGTTTCCACAGTTTCATAATATTTCTGCGTGCATTTAGGCCCCTTTCACATGGGGCAGACTCAGCCAGCAGATTTGCCTGCTCAGCTGGGTATCTATCCTCTAATCCAGTGGTTCTCAACCTGTGGGTCGTGACCCCTTTGGGGGTCGAACGACCCTTTCACAGGGGTCCCCTAAGACCATCAGAAAACACATATTTCCGATGTGTAAAGAGCAGCTACTGTGTAGAAAGCAGCTGCTGTGTTGAAAGCAGCTACTCTGTTAAAAGCAGCTACTGTGTTGAAAGCAGCAGTATTGGAGGTAAAACGACACTCATGAATTATAATTACTGGGTAAATAATTTTATGGTTGGGGGTCACCACAACATGAGGAACTGTATTAAAGGGTCACGGCATTAGGAAGGTTGAGAACCACTGCTCTAATCCCTGCTGAGCAGGCAGATGACCAGTCCATGTCCACTCTGCATAGTACACAATGTCCGCTGATCTCTATAGGATGTCAGATGTCTGTTTACATCAGACTATCAAACGATATGCTAGACAGAGGGTGAACGGATCCCCATCCATCTGTTTTCAGCAGTGGGTGTAAATGGACCCATGTCCGTTTATATCCGCCACTACATAGAGGGTAATGGAAGGTCCGATCGGGTCGCCTGAAAAACAGACAGGCAAACCTTATTGGTCTGCCTGTGTAAAAGGGGCTTTATTTACAGAACTATCTTCCTCTGGTGCAGTGTTACCTGTCACGATCACAAGATCGCCGCCACCAACATGTGACAATCTCACGGTCGCTGCCACAAATATGTCACGATTGCGACGTCAGACCCCAGACCTCACCGAACTCGTGACCGAAGGACTGGACGATCTAAAACCGCGATGTGATGTGCGTAACAATACCATGCCCAGCCGCACCCTGCACAAAGATTTTGCAGCTAATGGACTGCAATCTCTGTACCTGCGACCTGAGCGATTGTTATTGGGTCAGGTTAATTACGCAACTAACCCTTTCACACTGCCACCACCTCCTTTTTGATCAGAGAAAAAGGAAACTCGCAATATCGCTATAACCCTATAATAATTGAAATAATCGTCCGCATAACCCGGTCATTGACACGGGCCGGTTATACAGAGTTAAACAAACAGTAGCGTCTCTTTAAAGACAGGGATTTGTAAATTGCAATTAAGAGTTATAGAAACAGTTCAACACTTTCAGAAAGAGAGATTTATTACTAAAAGGGTCAAACAGGTGCAATAAAAATATTTACAGAGAAGATGTAACATAGATATATATATATATATATATATATATATATATATATATATATATATATATATACACATACATACATATATACAGAGAACCATAGCACAGTAAAGAGATATCAGAGAGGTGAAAGGGTTAAAGTACTTGCCAAAGTCCTGAGTTTAGCAGATCCAAGTCAGAGCAGGAGGGTGCTTTGATCTCCTCCCTATATTACGATGGAAAAATGGGAGAATTCTTCAACTCCCTCTCTTAGGCTTGGCAGCCTGTTTTAAAGTTTCCCAGCAGGGGGTGGTTCTGAAGTGAAAGACCAATCCCCTGTTTAGGGAGGGATCGTCAGGCGGAACCCTAAACTGGAACCAACATCTTTCATAATTCATATTCTGGTCTATAACGTTCCATCTGCACAAGTTACAGTCCACCCGCGGGTATTTTATTATGCAGATAAGCCTGAGGATTATTTAGATATGAATTATAAAATTATATGTGGCACGGTTTGCGAGTTCTATGTTCCAGCTTCCCTGATGGCCCGAGATAAATGAGTGACCCATTAAACTCATTGCTTATTGGCCATCTGACGAGGGGTCCGGTTTTTATGTAGGTCTCTCATATTCCAAGATATGAGACATAGGGGAAAAATTGATTTGAGAAGTGTTCATCTAATTCTGTCACCTATGCTGAGTTAGGTTTATTAGCCCAGAGTCCCTTTCAACTCCTGGGAAGGCTCTGTTATCTTTTCACGAGGTGTGAGATTACACATGTTCTCCAGGCAGTGCAGCACCAGGTGGCTGGGATCTGGCCTGTGACACTTTTAACACACACACATCTGTCACTGTGCCTCTCAGGAAGGGAGGGGGAAGGAGAGAAATGGATACCCTTAGCAAGATGGAGTCTGAAGCCAAAATGGTTGAACCGTGTCCATCTTGGATGCGTGCGTTTGTGACATTACCATGTAAAAACAATTGCAAAAATAAAATAAAAATTTATGTGATTAATATTGCAAAAACATAATATTTAACGCATTTTGAAGATAACACGTTTTTAAGGATTTTACTACTTTTGAGATGAATACTGCATGAGTTATTTTAACTCAAAAAATTCACACAGTAATATATCTTAGTGAATTGAACCCCATATATCTTATCTTAGATGTAGTTAGCAGGGATGCTAAATGTTACATATGATGTGAAAGAAGAATGTGCAGATTTGTTTTCAAAACATACTTATTAAACTATGAAATGGAAGCATGTAAAACTATGAATGCCCCACTAAAAACCATTTCAGATAAACATTGCATTTGAAAACTAAAATGTTTGCATGCTGAAATACACTAAAGTTTCCTTTTACAGGCCTGTAAAACTTTTTTTTTTTTACAGATGTCAGCTACTTGATTGTCCATACATCAGAGATAAACGTATTAAAAGCTCCAGTCCCACCTTAGATCCTTGTACCACCTATGGGAATCTTAGGATGCCTACAGTCTTTAGTTTTGTTTGCCCAGTCTAGCCATTTACAATTGGATCAGATAAAGTTTTATTTGTAGGTGTCAATGTTCCCTTATGCAGGCCATAGACGAGCCATTTATTGGCCGAATTGTCGGCCGATAAACGAAAAATCAGTTGGTCCTGTTGCCGATGCTGCCACCAATGTCCACGAAAAACTGCCATTTTTTGTGGATTCTCCAGCATGACCGATAAAAATAAATGAGAAGATCCGGGAAAAACGGCCAAAGGGCTGGCCCCACTAATGGTGTGAATATTGGCTGATTTTTCATGCAGATGAAAATTCGGCTGATAAACGACTCGTCTATGGCCTGCATTACTCAGCCTGGTTTACCTTTTAAGCTGATCCCTGTTGCTTACCATGAGATGGACAGGTTCCTGCAGTGATCCCTTATTCATAGACACAAATAGTCAAGTTACCTACTGTAGATGTGAATTTGAAAGGTTGTCAAACTCTTCTCTGAGATTGTTTGGTGTCCTGGTCATGTGTGCATGGAGCTAACTAATGGTTGCTTTAGCCTACCAGTTGGCGCTACTGGTCATGTAAAACCCTGCTTGCATTATCCTCTAGCTGGTGGAGGAGAAGTAGAGCTTGGGAGCTTCATAAGACATCCCACAGTGAAATGTTCAGATATATTAGAAGCCAGTAAGCCAGGCATTTCAACCAGCCTTTGTCTTCCCACAACTCAAATATTTGTTTACCATTGATTCCAGATTTAATTTAATTTTTTTTTTTTTAGCAAGATGACAGGCCTGTTTTGTTTTTTTTTGTTTTTTTCTTTTTAATAAAATTAGCTATATTCATGCAAGCAGCTTTCACCACCTTGTCCTATAAAAAAAAACATAGAGATGGATGAAAGTATGTTTTACAGAAAGGTCATGGGTGAATATAAATTACTTTCAAGAAACTTTCTTAAATGCATTAATACACAGTGGAATATTTTAAATTGAGCTATGGTGGAATTGCTTTTCACATTTATGGTACGTGAGAATTTCTATTTTGCCTTAACATACAGCATGTTTTTTTTTTTTTTTTTTAACAGTTTTTTACTGTGAAATTTATAAATACTTAAATCTGTGTTGCAGAAACAGTTAAAGGATGAAGCAAAGAAGGCCATTGGTCAGCTTCAGCTCCGCACCATAAAGCAAGGAGACAAGGTAATAATACTTGACATGCATGACTATTATTATTAATATTTATGTTGCAATACATTATGTGTAAGATTCCTGTCCAGAAAATAGAATTATTATTTTGGATAATGTCAATCGTTTATATTTTAATTGAATGTTGTTAGCATCCTTGCATACATATATGTATACAGAATGTTCTGTATTGTGTAAGACACAACCTAGATGGCCTATTTTAAAGCTGAATTACATGCACAAAAATGTTCATTTAAATATAGTTCTCAATAGCCACAGAAGATGCAAATAAACTGTGTGCACCAAATGCCATTACCAATGCTGAGATTACTTTGTAACTGTAGTGGTGACATCATCACTGTGTTTTGCAAACCCTAGGTAGACAAAGTTGTGGGAGAGTCCCACCAGCACCACCCACTACTGGCTGCCTGCAGTAAACTACAGGGGTGTGGACACAATACAGCAGCAGCAGTGAACGGTCTTTATTACCCATTTTAAAACCCATTTTAAAACCAGGTCTTTTCTGACACTTTTTATTTACAAGTAAAAATCAGTATTTCTTGCTAGAAAATTACTTAGAACCCCCAAACATATATAATTTTTTTTAGAGGCCCCAGAGAATGAAATGATGGTCATTGCAATTTTTAATGTCACATTTGTGCAGCGGTTTTTCAAAAGCAATTATTTTGGAAAAAATACACTGTTTTGAATTGAAATGCACAGCAACACAATATAATACCCAATTGTTTGGTATACTATTAAAGTTGTTATGCTAAGTAGATGGATACCAAACATGCTACACTTTAAAATTGTGCACTCCCATGCAACGGAGACAAACGTAAATTGTATTATCCATAGGCATTGCTTTAGACCGTTTACAGGTTACCAATTTAGATTTACACAGGAGGTTTGGTGCTACATTTGCTGCCCTCGATTTGACATTGGCAGTGATACCTCACATGTGTGGTACAATTGTTGTTTACGTATGCATGTGAGACAGATGCGTGTGCTCACCTTTTTCTGTTAGACTGGGGGGGACAGGGTGCTCAAAATTGTTTTTTTTTTTTTTTTGTTTTTGTTTTTTTTGTTTTGTTTTGTTTTCTTTGTTTTGTTTTTTTGTTTTTTTTTACACTGTTTATTTTTTTTAAATAACTTTTATTGTTCTGACAGGACATATAAATATCCCCTGTGATAGCAGTAGGCAGTGAGAGGTACTCTTACTCCTCTGCCCTCAAAAGCTTCAGATCTCACCAAGATCAGTATGATCCGATGCTTTTTTTTTTTTTTTTTGAAAAACCCCTAAGGGTTTGTTTACAACCACGAAATCCGAAAGTAGTGAAATGCTCACTGCTGATTCAGAGCTGATTGGAGCCATTTCAATCTCTGAACAGCTCTACGGTCAGCTGGCGGAACCACTGGCTGAGCACTCGGGTCTTCAGGTGGGACCGGAAAGCCTGAAAGAGCCACAAAAGCGGCGGAGGGGGGAGGACGACACCCCCTCCCACTGCTTGTAAACACAATCCAGTGGCTAATTGGTCGCTAGGTTTGCTTTTACAAGAAAGCTGACCGCTGGCTCACAAAAACAATACTGGGACATTGCCTGCAGCTGCAGTCATTCTGGTATAACCACCGCAAGTCCAGTGACATACGGGTACATCGCTGGCCACAAATGGTAACTGGATGCTTCTGAGCAGAGGCAGTTTCACACTGGATTACACTACAGATTTAAAAAATATTTAAAGGATATTAAGATAAGCAAGAATACATATGGTACTTGCAGGGGCAGACTGACAACTCATGGAGCCCCCGGGCAATAGGGGATCATGGGGCCCCTGTGTCATTGCCCAAACTCAAAAAAGCCTATGAAAAAGGTACCAGGGGCATCTCATGGGGCCCCCCTACTGACCCCGGGCCCTCGGACAGTGCCCGAGTTTCCAAATGGTCACTCTGCCCCTGGGCTTTATAAATGTGTATCTTTTTGAGCAGCCTGGAGGGAGTTCAACTTTTAGCACGATGAGAATTACTTATTACAATAAAGGAGATACTCTGTGTCCAGGGGCGGACTGACAACTCATGGGGTCCCCGGGCAATAGGAAATCATGAGGCCCCTGTGTCCTCTCCCACACTCAAACGACACCCAAAAAAAGCATATGAAAGGTACCAGGGTCATCTCATGGGGCCCCCTACTGACCCCAGGCCCTCAGGCAGTGCCCGAGTGCCTAAATGGTCAGTCCGCCCCTGTCTGTTTCATTAAAGAAATATAGAATCTGCCATTTCTGACCCTTTCTTTTATAATTGCTGGTTGCCTGGCCGTCATGCTGACCTCCCACTTGTTTCAATGCAGATAAGGATTTACTGGCTTTTCTCTGACGCTATTGATCTGCTTACTAGTTCAGGCTCAATGATGTACCAAGTTTGAACCTATTACAATGTAAAAGCTAGGCAAATGGTATTTCCAGTAGGATGTTTTGAGGAGGGGGGGTGGCTTATTTTGTATTTTAAAGCAAATTAAACTGTGCCAGCATTTCTATTTATACAGGTTCAGGCATCCTCCAGCAATATGATATCTGAGCTCCCATAACCACTTTGTCCCTATCAGTGTTTTTTTTTTTTTTCTTATGGGTCTGCAGCAGTCTTGCTTCCCCATTGGGCAGACCCTGATAATGTAACTCCTGCATGTCGGCTGCAGTTACATTATCCCTGCACCCAACTGTACACCGTGCTGCTCATGTACCACAGTCACTATACAGGTTAAAAAATATTCTACCGAAAGACCCTAACTGCTTTAAAGCCTAAGTTTACCTAAAATAAATCAGAACACATATGATGGACCACCTGGCACTCCGACTGGCTGCTTCCTCACCACTGGAACACAGGAACAAGGTATTATAGTTGGGCATTGCACCCAAGAACTAGACAACACTAGCTTAGGTGCAAACAGAAATTCCACACAGAATTTATACCACAAAAAAATCAGATAAGCACTCGATCACATTATCCTAAACAATGTGAATTTTAAACAGTAATATCATCAGTACATCTAATTAACAGCAGCTAACCTTAACCTAATTAAACAGTTATTTAATTAACAATAAGCTAATCAACAGCCAGGCACCCAGACCAGTCAGGGGGCCCACCCCAAACAGTCCGGCAACCACAGCCCTGAATACATAAAGTACATTACACATGCTGTCTTTCAGGTATTTGGCTTTCATTACTAGAAAAGTCATCAAAAGACAAAACTCATACAATATCCAACAGTCTGAAAAAAAAAATAGGATTTAATTTATTTTTTTTATTTGTGTCCAAAGTGGAGGAGCTTCTCCAACCCAGTCTGCAGGAGGGCTACCATGTTTCCTCTGACCATTAACATTTACAAGATTAATCTAACACCTTTCCATCCAATCCAGAAGGGAAGTTTTATTGTCTTTATTCAGAGAATTAATCCAGGCCTCGCTCTCAGCGTTCATCACATTATCAATCATCACAGACTGATCCGCTCTCACCACATGATGACCATGCTCTGACTGGGTGAAGCAGAGAAAATCCCCGGTCTCCTCCATGGGCATAATGGAGGAGACATAATCAGTGGGTAGAAGGCTAGCCCCTAGTCCCCTCCAAAAGTTCCTGTCCTGCTTGGGTCTGTCACAACAGGACATTACTTACCTTCAATAAGATGTGTCCCTTGTGCTGCTGTCTCCCTGTTGCCAAAATCTTCCTCCTCCGATGCCGCCACCCATGCGATCTTCCAATGTGGCGGGGGTTATTAGAACTAAGGAGCTGTGACAGACACTCATCAAGAGTGCCCAACCTTGCCCATCCTTTCCACTCAGCTGCTCCATTCATAGAAGCCATACTACACTTTCTATGAATGGAGGGGGCGAACCTTTTAATCTCACCCTCCATTCAGCGGTCTCATTTTATTCACAGTAGCTGTAGTACGGCTTCTATGAATGAAGCAGCTGGGTGGAAAGGATGGGAATAGTCTGGCACTCTTGATTGCCTATCACAGCCTTTGTGGTTCTATTAACCTCCACTGCACTGGAAGATTGTAGGGGGGCTGCATTAGAACAGGAAGATGTTGATGAAGGGAGGACACAGTTGCACACATTTCACTGAAGAGAAGTATTGTCCCTTGTGCTATTTTTGTTTTTTTATTTTTTATTTTGTCTTAGGTAAACTTAGGCTTCAGGTATATGTTCAGCGCAGTAAAGTACACACCAATGCAGCATTGACAGCGCTATCATTTTTCTTCCCTTTCTAAGCACTCCAGGATATATCACTGCCTTCTAATTCTGTGACAATGCAATAGCTGAGGAGTTTTTGTAACCCAGGCATCTACATGCAAATCAGTGGATTAAAGCGATTTGAGCAGTGAAATTGGACAGCGGATATCACACTAATCTCTGAGCAGTGAAATTGGATAGGGGATATGACTCTAATCTCTTACATTATTCACATTATTAGAACAAGTGCAGCTACTCCCTTACTTAGTTCTAGTATGGTTTACTACATGTCCTTTTGTTCTTGCAATGTAGTGAATTAGAGAAGTGTGATATACGATGGGTGATGCATTCCCTGACTGCCACTGCAAATGTTTCCTGTGCACTACTGCCTTCTAGTAGAATATACTTGGGAATATACTAATATGACATGTGACAGCCCCCCCACCCCCACCCATATATTCAAGCTAAAACCCTTGTTTACGCTAGAGGTTTTATTACTCATAGTAATGACTGGTCCCACAAAGCCACTTCTCCAGTTGTCACTTCCTCTCTTCGCTGATGTTCTCACATTATTACTTGCTATTCCAGTGGTCTCCAAACTGCGGCCCAGGGGCCAGATGTGGCCCTTTGCTTGCCCTTATCTGGCCCTTGGGGCACTATTCCACCAACTGACACCAAGGATGGGGCACCATTCACCCTACTGATGCCATCAATGGGGCAGCATTCATCTCCCTGATATCAACAATGAGGCACTATTCCTCCAATTAAAACCGATGATGGAGCACTGATACTGGGGAGTTTTCCATTGACTAGTCCAGTCCGGCCCCCATAAAGCCTGAAGGACAGTAAAATGGCCATTTGCTTGGAAAGTTTGGAGACCCCTGCCTTAAAGAAGCAATATAACCTGAATATACGGGGGAGGGGGGGCGGTCACCTATATATAATTTTCCTACAGCAGCACTAAACTGAGCACCAACAATTAACACACACTTGCCTGCTGGGAACTTTTACCCCCTTCCTGCCCAGGCCAATTTTCAGCTTTCAGCGCTGTCATACTTTGACAATTGTGCGGTCATGCAACACTGTACCCATATGAAATTTTTATCATTTTTTATAATTTTTTTTTTCACGCAAATAGAGCTTTCTTTTGGTGGTATTTAATTGGACTGGGTGTTTTTATTTTTTGCGCTATAAACACAAAAAAGAGCAAAAAAACGTGAAAAAAAAATTTTTTCTTTGTTTCTATTATAAAATTGATGTGCATTGATGAGGCTGCACTGATGGGCACTGATAGGATGCACTGATGAGGTGGCAAGGATAGGCAGCACTAATGGGCGGCACTGCAGGGCACATGTGGGTGGCACAGGTGGGCGGCACTGCTGGGCACTGATAATCAAAGCACTGATGATCAGTGCCAATCACTTCTCTGACAATTGCCGGTTATGGGCAGTACTTTCCTCATGCTGTGACAGTTTCTTTAAATCCATTATATATTTGCAATACAAAAATGTGCTTTTTTGCTTCCAGTTTGCTACTAAAACTATGATCCTGTAGATGCAAAGTACAAATATGTCCTTATAACTTGTCCTCTGTGTCACACCATTTATTGTGTTAAAAGTGGTAGTAAACCAAGAAAAAAAAAATTTGAAAAAAAATCTTCTCCCTGCAAGTTAAAGTGGAGTTCCACCCAAAAAGAGAAGTTTCGCTTTAAGGCTTCTGTGAATAGCAGAGCAATACATAGCAGCGTACTTGCACAGTAAAACACACACACAGTTAACCCTTTGATCGCCCTGGATATTAATCCCTTCCTGCCCAGTGTCATTAGTACAGTGTCAGTGCTTTTTATTAGCACTGATCACTGTATTAGTGTCACTGGGGATGTCAGTGATGATTAGTTTCCCCTCCCCCCCCCCCCAATGTCAGAATGCCACTGCAGTCCAGCTATAAGTCACTAATTGGCGCCATTACTAGTATAAAAACAAAAAAAGAAATCCCAGTATTCATACCACCATTTGTAAACACTATAACTTTTATGTAAACCAATTCATTTACACATATTGGGATTTTTTTTTAAGCAAAGATATGTAGCAGAATACATTTTGAACAAAATTTTTGACTGGATATGTTTATCAAATTTTTTACTGGATATGTTTTATAGCAAAAAGTTTTCAAAATTGTTGGCCTTTTTTTGTTTATAGTGCAACAATTAAAAAATTTCAGAGGAGATCAAATATCACCAAAAGAAAGCTCCATTTGTTGGGAAAAAAACCCCATAAACTTAATTTGGTTGCAGCGTTGCATGACCGTGCAATTGTCAGTTAACGCAGCACCATATCGCAAAAAATGTCCTGTTGAGGAAGAGGGGTAAATCCTCTGGAGGGCAAGTGGTTAAAATAAGTGCACACGATATATTGGCGGCGGTAATAATATTTCCTACAGTATCTTCTTTATCTTCATAACCGTAAAAGACCCCAGAGGATGAGAATGAAGTTGTGGAAGATTTAGATTTTTGTGTTTTTTTGTTTTGTTTTATTTTTAATGAAATGTACATTGTAAACAACACGTCTTTTCTAGAGGGAGCAGATCTGTGAGTCACAGCAGGAAAAGAGCCTCTCCGCTTGTCAGCTTTCCTCCTGTATGACCTCAGCAGGTGGATCCCTGGAGCGATTTCCATCTCTTCAATTCACACAGGGCCACTTGTTATTGAAGACTTGCAGACCTGTTCACATGCAGCA